CTTAGAAAATACTTGCAGAATAAAAATAGAGAGTGACAAATTAGAGAAATGTTTTATTACAACTAGGATGAAATTCAAAAAAGATATGTGCAATAATCCTATATATTTAAGGCACAGAAATTCTGTTTAGGCACAAAAAAATGATCAGAAATGATCACAAGTCAACTGTAGCATTAAAGTGCTTCCATTAAAATAAAATATTACTGCCCTCCTGAAAGGGTTAATATAAATATGGCACAAAAGGTCAAGCTAGTGTAGTGGCTTTAACTAATGTAGTAGAGAGAAAATTAAACTGGGAATTTGAAGACTTATTCTGTCCCAGTTTGGCATAGACCTGAAATGTAATCACTCTGAGGCCTTAATTTCCTCATTTGCAAAATAACTGAGTTAGACCTGATGATTTCCAAGATCGCTAGCAATAAGAAAAAAGTATACAAATAATTGTATAACTAATATTGCAATTCCCAAATCAATTCCAGGAACCCAAATTATGAGATTTATCTGCCTTAGAAATTAGAGGAATGTTTAATTTTGTGGTTGCTCAGACTGTAAAAAAGACTAGGGTCTGACTCGTTCTTACTTTTTATTATTCATGTATTTGGGCTCAGCAAGAACTTCTGCAATGGGAACTCAGTGAGCGGAAGGTGGATTGACCTGGTGTCAAAATGGAAACTAAGTGACCTGGGGGTGGATATGCCTGCTGTCAAAAAAAAAAAACAAAAAAAAACAAAACAAAAAAAAACCCTCCTCTAAGGTCCACATCCACAAAAGCCAACAGTTAAATCACCATCCAAGAGGATGAACTTGGGCCAGATCTGGGTTCCTAATTGTACTAGATTTGGGTGCTTTGACTTAGAGACTGGAACCTTTGGGCCAAACATCTTTAAAATTAAGAGAAGGGAAGGTACAGGGCCAGGGAAATATTTTCAGATACATTAAAGTATTTTATAGAGAAAACAGTAGCCATTTAATTTCTGAAGAGAGGACAAAAGAAGAAAGAGGTTTAGACTGAGGCATAGGGGCTTTAATAATAATAATAATAATAATGAAAAGATGATATCCTAGATGGTAAGGAGAATATATATAATCAAGGAAGCTGTAAAACCTCTAATCCTAGAGGTTTCTCCAGAACCCAAGATAGAGAAGAGGGCCTCCCTGAGGAAACAGACAAAACAAGCCCTTAAACTTCCTTCCTGTTCTATGTAGTCTATTTTTAAAAACAATCCTTCCTTGAAATGAAAGGATAAGATATAAAATAAGGTCATTAATGCTAAGATTCAAATATAATCTAACAATTTTTTATGTAGGTCATATGTTGTTCTTAGAATTTTCTATTTTTTTTTTTTTTTTTTGAGACAGAGTCTCGCTTTGTTGCCCAGGCTAGAGTGAGTCCCATGGCATCAGCCTAGCTCACAGCAACCTCCGGGGCCCAAGCAATCCTGCTGCCTCAGCCTCCCAAGTAGCTGGGACTACAGGCATGTGCCACCATGCCCGGCTAATTTTTTCTATATATATTAGTTGGCCAATTAATTTCTTTCTATTTATAGTAGAGATGGCGTCTCGCTCTTGCTCAGGCTGGTCTTGAACTCCTGACCTCGAGCGATCCACCTGGCTCGGCCTCCCAGAGTGCTAGGGTTTATAGGCATGAGCCACCGTGCCTGGTCAGAATTTTCTTAACCATAACAATTACAGAGTCTTTATTTAGTCCTAAATAAAGACTCCGTAAATAAAGACTTATAAACAGCAGGTATTACAAAGAGCAGGAATTATTTCATACCTTTATTACAAGGTTGAAATTGTGATCAATGGGGAAAATATGTATGAACTTAGATTCTGAATGCTCAATGCTAAATATGATTCTGCTCCACTTCCTTGCACTGAGAGCATGCCTGTTACGGCAGGCCCTGAACATGAGGGGCTCCTAGAGGGAGGAGGGGGAGATGGAGACTGAGGTAGAGGGAGGAAAGACAGATTGGGTGCGTAATCACATCTGTGACCTGACAGTAGCTTGTGACTCTCTGGATCCAGCCACTCTTTGACTTCTCAGTTTTACGAGTCAATGCATTCTTTTTCCTTTAATTAGTCTGTGCCTTTCACCTCAAAGAATCTTAAGTAGAACAGGTGTAGGGAAGATTGAGGGGGAGAATATCAGAAGAGATGGAACAGGAACCATGGGCTGTGGTAGGACAAAAGTGAGAGCAGTACCTGTGGTGCAGTGAGGAACGAGAAGACGTGACGAGACTCTTTTATGTGTGAAGGACATAAAGGAACATCTAGGCAAATACTAAAAGAGATGGAAAAATATCTTTGAAAAAACCATCAACTCTAATCTCCTGGACAATGTATGGCTAACTATGCCCCACCACTAAAGCGCAATACTTTCTTCAGGATGACACGAAATGTTTCAGGTGGATGAGAATTCTGCTCTACCATCTGAAGAGATATTCTACTATGAAAATAATTTTCTGCAAACCTCTGCCACTCCATTATGTTAATAACATCTTAAGTTTAATAAAACATGGCATGTACCCCACCAAGCAGTTAACAAGACGTGGAACAAGAAATAAACCCATGATTTTTTCCCATCCCACAGAGCACTGTCTTCATGCTATCTAGTCTCCAGACTTGGAAACACTTTTGCTGCGATAATCATTTGGTTCACTTTTCACAAGAGTAATAGAGAGCTGTCCCTTATTCCCTTTCTAGAGAGTCACAGTGACATGGAGCAATCAAAGTAACCCATTATCAGAGAATCCCCTACTTTGTTCAAATTATAAACATCAACGGGACACTCTCCTGAGAATTCAAAGAGGTGGCAAGTGTGGGTGATCTAGGCTTGTCGTTAGCAAGATAAACCAGGTTCACTTGACGCTTTGTTTTAGCAAAGGCACCATAAGTAGGGATTACACTTCACCTGGGTTTTGCACGGATCGTCAAAATGCTGACAGTCACTTAAATTAGTCACTGGATGGAATAATCACCCTGAAAGGAACTGAGAGGGTACAACTTATGTTATAAAATGGAACTGAGCACATGAGACAAAGTATTAATGGGTGTGGTAGACGAGATCTTTGTCAGAATAATAGAGATGATTAAAGACATGAATTAGACATCACCTGTACTGGGTACTCTTAGCGACATGAACACAACAGCTAAATTGTGCAATTACAAAGTTAAGCATAACTCAGAGTGCATCTTTCTCCTTTTGAGAACAGTTGACGCCAGGTTAGCCCATGCGAATCACTCAGTGGCTTGCTACGGAGGTCACACATGGTCTTGTGGAGCCCTTTTGGAATGGACAGAATAGAAATCTGGATTTTTATCACCAGAAATAAGAGATTGTACTAATAATATTATATGCTGATGGCCCACTGAACAAGAGGACCCCTTCCAAACATCACTAATAAACCTACCCAAGCAAACTTGCATTTGCAAGAGTCAAAGGAAACCAGGAAAAGAGGCATCTGGTCCCTTTTCAGAGCTCTTCATTTTGCAATTAGCAAAGAGAAAATTAGCTCTTTCTGACTTTTTTAGGGGGCAAGGGAGGCAGCAGAGTGGGTCTGGAAGATAAGATGGATAAATTAAACTACTGCTTGTAATAGAATTGCCTGATTTTATGGGGTTATAAACTTGAAGGGGCCTTTTAAGGATACTTACTTTGGGAATCTGCTCAAATGCAATACTGTGCCCAAACTATCCTTAATTGGTGGATACATTTTCTATTCTTATAGCTTTCTGAAAATAAACATGTATAATTTTATCATCAGATAAAAAGTGGTATTTTAAATAGAAACTAAAAAAATAAAACTATAAATAAATAGTAACATATTAAGAAGATTCCTAAAGCAAATGATATGATTTCCCCCAGAAGCCCACTCCTTTGGTTCTTTCTCCCCATTGGTACTAGGGCTAGGTACATGGCAGCATAAGCTTGTGTGTCGTGAGCATCCAAGGGACCCCTCAAGACTCTTGGGGCCTGCTTTTCAGGGAATAATGCAGCCTGGTGAATCTCATCCACACCTTTTCCATCTGTAGGCCGGAAACATGGGTAGTCAAGTAATAATACCTTTTCAAATAACAGTGATAATAAGTAACACACTCTGAAGTTCACAGTCCAAATAATATAAGCATTTTCTAATAGTTGTCTAACAGTTACCCCTAACATTAAATTCAGAGCTGATTTGGCTTCTTTCTTCTTCCTGATTTTTTGTGTTTTTTTTTATTTTTCCCTCCTGTTTCCATCTCTGCATTCATGCCTCTAAATCTGCCTCTTCCTTTATTATGTCTTCACACCATTTCTTATTTGTCTCTATTTTAACTATGTTATACATACTCCTAAAGTAATGCTTCAAAAATTACTAATTGCATAGTTATTAAAGTTTATGTGCCCAAAGTTTTCAAACTGTTTTTCTCTGAGTCATTGGCCCTTGATAGAAAAAGAGGTTTTCCTTTCTTATTTGATATCCTGTTCCTTAATTTCCTTGAAATCCATAATTGTTATCTCTCAACCATCTCTTTTCCAGAATAATTGTCCGCGTTGTCTCTATTTTCTAGCACCTTAATCACTTCTACGACTCTAATAAAAAGATTCGCTTTATATCAAGTTAAAATGAGAATGTCAACTATGTACTCAGCCCTGAGCTCTGAGACAGTTTCTGCCCTTGAGAAGTTGTTGTAAAGAGGACAAAAGGAATTGCTTTTTGTTCCTGATACACAGTGGTTCCATCTTACGTGGTTTTCTGTGTCTACAGCTTAACATCAAGCAATGTGAACATGTGCCTTTCCTGGCTTTCCACACCCCACACAGGGAAACTGAGATTAGCTCCTTTCCCAGAATCACAAAGTAGGAGAGTGCAACACAAGCAGAATTCCAACACAGATCTTCTGACAACTTGGGACACGCCGCCACAGGGCGACAGGTACACATTCACGTTCCTAACAAAATCACTCAGTCTAGTTCCTCGGTGGTCCCCACAATAACCGCCCACCCAGCTACTTACTCTGGGAAGTAGAAAGATTGGCGAAAGCGGACTTGGTTCGACCCGCCAACCATTCCAGGCTTTCGTGCATGTTGGCCAAAGCTTTGAGGTCACTGACGTCACAAAGGATGTCTTGTGGAGGGATTAACTTATCACCCAGGTTCCCAATGAGAACTTCGGACTCCTTGCCAAAGGCTGCCCTGAAAAACAAATCAGACACACATTTCAATACAGCCTGGGACAAGCAGGATTAGGCCACACTTTTTAAGGCATGTCTAGCACCAGGACTGAGTTCATCCCGACTTTACAGCGTGCTCTTTTTCCTAGGTTTAACTTAGTGAGAAAACAATCATATGCCTGCTTGATGTTATTTTGGTAGGAGAAAAAGTTCTTAGAAGAAGAAATAAGTGGTACCTTGGACAGGAACCGGTAGGAGCCTGGCTGACACAGTAACAGTCCCTAGAGGCGGCATCTATGCTGCTCTCCTGTCGGTTTTTTCCTTGCCTGTGTTCATACTACGTAAGGTGACGAACAGCTTAGGGTGACAAGTATGTGGATGGTTTGAGATTTATTGTAATAAAAATAAAACAACCACGTTAATCTGGTCACTAGAAAATATTTTAAAATGTTCCAAAGCAAAGAGGACTTAGCTTCTTTAACAGAGCAGACGACAGCTAAGATGAATGGCAGGCTTCATTCATTCACTCATTCATTTACTTTTTCTAAAACCATAAGCATTAAGGCATTCAGCATTCGGAAAAAGAAACCAATAGAAATCAATGCTGGGGTCCTTTTACTGATTGGAAAATATAATCAAGTGGGTTTCACACAGGGCCCAGTGTCTTCAGAATGTTTTTTGGGGGGTTGAAAAAATATCAAGTTACGTGGGGTTACAAAGGATGGAGCTGGATGGGACCCTGAGACCACGTGGCACAGCCACTACTGAGATGAAGAAATGGAGGCTCAGAAAGTTACATGTTCTGCCCACATGACGCATGAGTGGCAAAGCTGGGAAGAAGGGTACCTTATTTCTACAGCCCTTTCTCTTTTAAAAAGAAAAAGAAAGAGAGCCAAAATGAGAAAAGATGACTGAGAATGTTAGGCAAAAACATGTCTTTTCAGGAAAGTTACACACAGGCGGGTAAGCAGAGCTGATGCTAGAGGAGGTTGGAACGGGCACCTGGAGTGTTTTCTGTAAGTCCGGAGGCTTTTAAAACTCAAAATACCTTAAGTGAGAAGAAGCCAGGGCTTTATTGAAGTAGGATAAGCCATATTAAGTCTTGAGCATGCAGCGATTAAAAACAGTTGACATACAGTCAGAAAGATGCTTAATTGACACATGGGCACTTACCGCCCAACACTATAGCAGACGCTCAATGTTGAAAGAAACAACTGCTGTGAATCAAGTCCTTATTAAAATTGTTTATGCTACCAAGTAGTGACTCATGATTAGCCTTCTTATGTCAACAGAGTGTTATCTTTTTTTAAGGAAAAGCCAAAATCGATTGGCTGATTTGGGTAAGTTGTGGGTACGGAGGCAGTAAGGAGCAGTGGACTGAGCTCATGAAACTTGGGTGTACATACCAGTCTTGGGGTCTTGTGAAAGGTCTTGGGGTGGGGCCCCAAATTCTGCATTTGTAACTAGTTTCCAGGTGATGCCCAGGCTTGTTTGTCTGTGAAGTATGCTTTTCTGGAGTTGCAAGGGTTGGAGCACAGGCTTCAAAGTCAGATAAACCTGGGTTTGAATCCTGAATCTGCCACTCGCTTGTTGTGTGATGCTGCTTAAAATTCCCTGAGCATTATTATCTGACCTTATATGAAGTAATGTAAGGCTTATTTTTAAGGTGATTTAAAACACTTTTAATTGGGAAAATTTCAACAATTACAAAGGAAAAACAAGAGTTTAACAAACCTCGATGTATCCCATGTATTCATCTCCCAGTTTTGACCCTTAGCAACTCAACGGGTATGTCTTCCATCCCTATCTACCCCCTCCCACCTTATTTTGAAGCCAATCATTCAGGTGCTGTTTTTAATTGCATAACAGTGTGTGGAACTTGGTAAAAGCTAATTAGCTGTAGTTATTACTCTTAGGTCTGTTGAGACAACTAGTTTATTTAGCATCAACCCAAGGTATACCATGATGAATATATTTACATACATAAGAATGAGCAGGAGGAAATAAGTCAGGTCTCAAGGGCTAGTTTTATAAACAGAACTTTGTAGCACCAAAGCGTGTGTCGCTGTGTCTCATAGTCCAGCCTTTTATCAGAATCTTCAAGAGCTAAGTGATTATAACAGAAACAACTAGTTGCCTACCCAATTAGCCATTACCCCATGGCTTCTTGGCACAAGGACCCTGAAATTGTTGGGGTTAGCCATGTGTTCAACTTAGAATGAAACAAAACAAAAACCCCACTAAATTTTCCTGCCCCTCTTGCGTATGTGGTGGCCAGTGAGACATAACCTGAAACCAGTAGATGGGCTTCAAGAAAGCTCTCTCAAGCAATCTCAGTTTTTTCCTCTTTTTCCTTTCCCCCTTTTGGAATGCAGCTATGGCAACTGAGGCTGCAGCAGCTCTTGTCAAACATCAGGTGACCTTGAACTTGGGAGCCAGGGCTGAGACTAATGGAGCCAAAAGAGAGAGGGGCACTGGTGCACCAATGCCATCATGGAGCTGCAGTGCAGTCCCAGACAATATGCTTCTGAGTTTCATGTCAAAGCAGAGAAAATGAAACCCCATTTGTTTAAGCCACTGCTATTTCAAGTTTCTGTTACTAGCTGCTAAATGCAATTTCTAACTGACACAATTATCTAATTAGCATAAAGTGATGGCATCCTCAGAAAACTCTCTGAATTTAGATAGCCCTAAAATTCAGTTACTGGGAAAAGCAAAACAATGTCTCTTCCATGATTCAAGCCCAGAAGACATTTATAATATTTTCCCCTTGGCTGTCTCTCAGTTAGGTTGTAAATATTTAGTTTTCTTAATCTGCCCTTCTACATCAACTGTTCTAGCCCCTTAATCATCTTTGATAGATTTAACACGAAAAATGCCTCTGAGCTGGGTGGTTAGAAAGCTACAAGGGAGGCAAACAGCTTTGAAAACTAGGCCTGGAGCTATTTTTATGCATATAGGTGTAACCCTGGGTGGAATGTGACAATCAAGACAAATGTATTTATGTAGGAGTCTAATCTGCTTGAGTGGGGATCTTGGGCCCTGGGCACAACTGCCTTTGCGCTTCCAGTGCGAGATGCCTACCCCATTTCCCTTTGCTTAACCTCCTCAGACAGGAGAGCAATAGACTGAGAAAAATACAAACTGCCTCATGTTGAATACATAGCAGACATCTCATTTGACAGGAATCCATAATCACCCACTAACGACCTGAAAAGAGCACAGAAACCATGACATGGAGAATAAGTGATTGACAGCTATAACCATTTCACATAAAAAAAAAATCATTCCTTCGAGGATTTGTGTGTGTCAAGGAGCTTGGTGGAAGGTTTTTATGTGTTACAACAACCTTAAAAGGATGGGTTTAGCTGCTTGACTACAGACTTTTTTCTAAATCCCTGATTTATTAAATTATGGTATAGCCATAATGTGGAAAACTATCAAGTCATTAGAAATTATATAGTAGAAAATACTTGATACCATAGAAAAATGTTTGGTATAGCTTATATTTAGCCATGATATGCAGTTGCTTAAATAAACTTATAAGACTATATGTACCATATGATATTAATAGAAAATAATCAAATATATGAACTGAACAAAGGTTGGATATCTGTACACCAAAATGTTAACTGGATTGGGTGAGTAGATCCTGCTTTCTGCTTTTCTGTACTTTCCACATTTTCTCCAAAAAACGTGGTTACCTTTTAAATCAATAATTACAAAGTGGAGGGAAGAAAAGTGGAAAATATCACCCCACATGAGAAAACTTTCAAACGGGCATGTCCAGAATCACAGCATGGACAGCTGGAGGACACAGTATTGCAGTCACTCAGCCCCCAGTGGGAGGCAGGGAGTGGTTGGCCTGAAGGCTGGTCGGGACCGGTGGCTCCAGCCTTGCTAAAGCAGTCACCGTCCCCTGCAGAGCATCTCATTGCCGAAATGACTACCACCTGGCATCCAGACCAGTATTATTTCCTCTTTCTAGATCTGAATTTCTACATACCCTTCATCTTTTGCTTATTATGCATGGGCAGAATAATCATTAGAATCAGAAGGTAAGTAACAGAAACCCAGAAGTAACAAGGGCTCAGCAATTGCCCAGAGACTTTCTGACATAGCCAGGAACAGAACTCAGAACTAAGAATGTGTATGTTTTGGGTACTGAACCCCGTATGAGGAGTCGCCTTCCTAATCAGCTGGCCAATACACTCACATAGAAGGCTATAAAACTGAGGAAGATTGTTAAAACTGTTAAGCTTAATTTCTGCCACACAATTATTTGTAATCTTTAATAAGCTCAATCCACAAGAATTCATTTAAAAGAATTTTGCCAAGACTGTTAAACCTATTTAACTTAAATTTGCCACACAATTATATTCTTTAAAGAGGTCAATCTGATAAGAATTCTTTTAAGAAAATTTTGCCAAAGATGCCCCAAATTGTCTCCATTTAGTGTTTAAAGAATTCTGTTATCCACTGAAAGAAAGGCAGAAAAGTCTGCATTTCCAGCAGACAAAATGCAATTAAGAAAGAACTATCATAGATGGTTTCAAAGTGACTGACTTGCAGATCTGTGCTGTGTCTGTACAATCATAGAACATACACACTCAGACCTGTTCTCTCTCCCTGCCCCATTCCAAACTTATTTGACAGCAAAAGAAGCGAGGCAGGGCCCACAGTCCTGGAGCTCCCCTCTCTTGCCGTGTGCCCAGTTACCCAGAAGGAGCTGGCCTGACGGGTCAAATGGCCTCTGCAGGGTTTAGCTGTGGTATCAGTCAGGGGCCAACACTTACCAAGCTGGGTGCTGGAATGCTTTGACGCTGAGACCAACATATGTGCTTCTCCTTCCTTTCCCCCGACCAATAACAAGAAAATGTGGGTCTGGGAACCAAGGATTAAAAGTAGAAATGGCCCTTCCTCTCATTATTAAAACTTCTCATAGAGGTTTTTTTCTTGCCACTGCAACTTTGGGCTAAGCCCATCTAGCATGCTTCCGCTGGAAGAAACAACAGTGACTAC